ACATAAGCAACATGAGAGCAGAACCACATACCTTTTGCTAAATGCTTTTTCCCTAGCGCCTGGTACAATGCCAAGCAAAGGTAGTTGATCAGTAAATGTTTGCTGAGTAAATCAATGAATCAGTGGCACTCGAGGAGAAGGCGGATGGGCTTTGGAGTCAGGCACATCTGGAGTTTTTTGTTTACTGGCTATGTGACCTTAAACATGTAATTTAACATCTTCTACAAATTCAGGATAATAACAAACAACTCTCAGGACTCTTGTGAGGACTGAATGAAAGAACATATGTAAAATATCTGGTTGTCAGCTGAGGACTAGTTGTTTTTCCATCCCCTTTCTACCAGAATGTGATTGCTCTTTTTCAAAATTATTTTAGCTATTTTATTTCCCTTGCATTTCCAAATAAACTTTAGAACAGGCTTGTCTATATCTACAAAAAAATCCTGCTAATTAGTTCAACCAAACAAATCAGATCAATTTGGGGAGAATTGTCATCGTTACTACGTTGAGTCTTCCAATCCATGAACACAGTGTCTCTCAGGTCTTTGATTTCTTTCATCAGGATTTTGTGCTTTTCAACATACATAGCCTGTAAATGTCTTGTTAGATTTATACATAATGTTTCTTTTTCCTTTTTTTGAGCTATTGTAAATAGTAGTGTTTTAAATCTTGGTTTTAATTTTTTACTTAAAGTATAGAAATATGAGTTTTTTATGTGTTGACTTTGTATCCTATGATCTTGTTAAACAGAGTTATTCGTTTAGGAACTTTATCTGTAGATTCCTTGAGATTTTCTACACAATTATGTCATTTACAAATAGGGATAGTTTTCTTTCCTTCCCATCTGTATGCTTTTATTTCATTTTCTTGCCTTATTGCACTGAGTCAGACTTCCAGCAGCATGTTGAGTAGGAGTGCTGAGAGTAACATCCTTGCTTTGTTCCTAATTTCAAGAAGAAATCAGGCTTTCACCATTAAATGTCATGTTAGCTGTAGGTTTTTATGGATGTTCCTTATCAGGTTGAGAAATTTCCTTCATGGCTTGCTAAGAAATATTGCCATAAATAAGCAGAATTTATCAGGTTTTTGACTATGTTACTATATTTTATAAAATTTTGATTTGATCCATAATATATTCTATAATACCAAAAAGTTGCTGAGAAAGTTAGCAAAATAAATCTTATATATTTTTTCCCGAAGTCAGCATGTTGAATATTAACTTTGAGGAAGTTTGCTGGAATGTACATCTTTTATTCATTTACCTTAGTTCGCCTTCTGAAATCAGCATAATAAAAATTCTATTATTAAATTTTAATGTCTGTGCCCTAGGAGTCTAACCATAGTGATTTAGGGTCCAGCCTTATTAACTGAAAGTGGCTAAAATCCTCGTAAGTAAGAGCCATGAAGATGCCCAAACCTTGACTCGCTTCTAGGAATGTATCCGAAGAAATGAATTCAATAGAATCAAACATATAGATGTTCAGCATGACCAAAATGTCCAACATCAGGGTACTGGGTTTCATAAATTATGGCACATTCAGTTATTCAGTAAATATTTGTTAAATGTCTACCATGTATCAGTTATTATCTTTGGCCCTAGAAGTACAGCAGTGAACACAACAGACAAAGCTCCCTGCCCTCATGGTGATTACTTTCTAATGGGGAAGGCAGACATAAACAAGATACCTGAGTAAACATACAGTATGGCAGATGGTGATGAGTGCTGTGCAGAAAAATCAAGCATAGAGCATGGATGAGGAGTCCAGGGGCGGAAGTGGAGAGGATACTGTTTGAATAGAGTGATGGGTGGGCCTCACCAAACAACACAAAAGAACACTACATATGAGAATTAAGAATACTTTGTGGCGATGTGGAAAATTTTTCATGAAATATTGTTAAATGAAAACCCAAAACTATGAAATAGAATGTCTACTGAGTTTTCAAGTTTTTAAGTATAAGCCTGAGTATGTATACATAAAATATAAAAAATGAAAATAGTTTTTTATGGGTGGTTTTAATATTATTTTATAGCATTATTTACCCTGAGCATATTGTATTTCAGTTTAAAAAAAGAAAAATGTTTAAGGTTTCCCAAGATTAATATGAGACTGAACGAAAGGTAGGATGAAGGTACAGATAGAACTCATGTTTGCACTGGAAGAATTTTACTAAGGGCACATCAGAAGGAGAATCTTCTATTAAGGCAACTAAAAAATTATCTATTTTAAAGGAGATAAAAGTTATGTTGTTCATGGTGCCTCTAACAACAGTTGTGCAGTGTTGGCTGTGAGTATAGAAATGATGGCAAGTTTAACATGTGCTCATAAGTGAGTCACATTCAGATTTGGTACGTGACTCTACTTTTTAAGATTAAAATAAAATGCACTGACATATCTTACTGCAAACTACATTTTCTTACGTGTTCAAGAGATGATAGCTAACCACAGAAAATGTGATCTGGTACCCTGTACACATGGTAGAGGCATCCTCTAAAGGTGCAGAATGGCAAGGTCACCCACCCAGACAAGGTCTCCTGATTATTCTGGAAGCTTAGGCTTAGACTCAAAGAGGGCTATTAATGTGCTCCTCTGAAAGGGTTTCTTTGGCATAGCCAAGTTACAGCCACCCAGGACTGGTGTTCTCTGCGGTGCTGATTCAGAATTTCTAGGCACTGAGCAATCACTCTATCAGCAAAGGCACACGAGGTGTTTTCTTTGTTAGGAGCACAAATGCCCTAAATATCTTGCATTCTTCTCTCCAGCATGTCACTTCTAGTAAAATGAAATCCCAGCAGTCATGTGTCTGAGTTTAAGGGAGAACTCAATTGTGTTTACTCAGATTTTCTCTGTCATTCTTTCTTCCATCTTTTTTTTTTTTTAACTAAGCACACCAGTGCTAAAAGTAAAAACACACTTTGTAATTAACAGGCTCTGTTGGATAGCCAAACTGTTCTGTTATAATCTTGTTTGAAAATTTTCAAGTTGCTTGAAAAACATGGAGGTGAAATAAAGCAGCCAGCTGGCCTGTGGACAGTAAGTTAACAAGTTATAAAAAGAAGAGAGAGAAGCATCACACCCTTTTTTCCAATCCTTTCTCCCTCCTGGTTACTGCTTCTTTTGGGCTGTCCCAGTTTTGTGTTGGCTGATGGTCTGGGTGCGCCATGGTTGTTGTGATATAGCATAGTCGTTAAGATAAATGTTTCTGGAGCCAGAGGATTCTAACCATGGTTCCTCAGAAGTTATTCTACTTCTCAGAATCTCAGTTTTCTCGTCAGTAAAGTAGTGATAAACACTTCACAGGGTTTCTGGGAGTCTAATATGAGTTCATGCATGGTACCTGACACATTATACGTGCTCATAAGTAGAAATGCATATACTGATGCTTTTTAGGTTAGAAAACACTCACACATGCATTTCTGCCTCAATTCTCCAGAAAGATATTGTATTCATCCATATACTCAGTGGGTGCCTGAGTCTGTTCAGGCTGCTATAACAAATGTCAGAGGCTGGGTGACTCGTAAACAGTAGAAGTTTCTTTCTCACAGTTCTGGAGGCTAGAAGTTCAAGGTCAGGGTGCCGGCATGGTCGGGCTCTGGTGAGACCCCTTCCAGGTTGAAGGCTGCCGACTTCTTGTATCGTCACATGGCAGAACGAGGCCCAGGGAGCACTCTGGGGTCTCTTTCATAAGAACACTAGTTCCATTCATGAGGGCTCCACACCCATAATGTAATTACCTCCCAAAGCCTCCCCCTCCAAATACCACCACATTGGAATTAGGGTTTCAACATATGAATTTCAGGGGGACACAAACTTTCAGTCCACTCCTTTGGGGAAATGATTTGCCACAGGTCACATGGGTCTCAGTCCAACATTCTCCTGCTACACCATGTTTATGCAGAGGCCCAACTGTCTTTGCATATACATAGTATATACACACAGTACAAAATTCAGAAGGTACACAGAAGATAAACTGTAGAAAAGTAAGGCTTTCTCCCACCTCTGTCCCCCAGGCACTCAGTTTCCTCCCCATTGTAGACTCTTTCTCAACTGAATACTTAGATGCAGTGGTTTTTCTGTGGCAAGTCCTCTCCAGTAGATAATCAGATGCAATATGAAATTTTAGACTGGAAACATCATATATTACATGTTTAAATCCAGGGCCAGTATAGGAAACAGAAAGAGTTTGATGTAGATAATGAGGTGCTTACAAAATCATTGGAAAGGTTGGAGGGTTAGGCTCTGGGGAAGGCCTCCAGGAAGCTTCTAGAACACCTTCACAAAACTGACCCATCATGGAAGCAGCTACCTGTGCCCTGATCAGGAAACTGCTTCCAGACAATTGAGTTCAAGAACCTAGTCCCAAAGCCACCTGCACTGCCCCTGCAGCCCCCTCTCCACACTCACGAAGCTGGTGTTTGAACACTAGAACACAGCCTTCAGCACTGCCTTCAACACAATTGCCTTCCGACACCCTCAAAGCTGGAGATTGGACAGGGGCATTCTGCTGAAAAAAAAAAAAAAAACAAAAAAAAACCACATCGTCATAACCGCCTTGCCGGTAGAACAAGTCAAAGCAGCAGGAAACAGCCTCTGTCTCGTTTTCATCTTCCAAATCTCACTCAATTACATCTGAATGGAGGATCCTAATTTATATCCAGAACTCTAGTTGTGAGGGAGTATGGAAGATGCAGTGCTTAGCCTGCAAGCTCATGCAGTAGGAAGGCACCCTAAGAAGGGTGAGAAAGGAGGCTACGTGCCCAACTTGCACAGTACTTTCTATTTTTAAAGAAAAGCATGTCTATATGTATTGGCTTATGCATTTCCCCATTTCTTTTTGTTTGAGTCTATTTCCTTCCCTAAATAGTCTAGCAGAAGCTATGATGGTCCTATGATGGTCCTTCAAGACAGACTTTGTAGTACTAGATAGCTCATGCCTGGAAATGTATATAAACTTGCAATATGAAACTTCACTCTAATTTCTTTTTCAGAATCCTATCCATCATGACTGCCATCCAGCTATGAGAATTTATTGACCGCCACCCAGGGATCCCACCCAGGTAATGTTCTTCCAAATAGAGACGCCTCCAGAGCTGCAGCAAGTTGGACAGACACCTAGGGAATTGGAATTGCTCCCCCTGCTGCTTGCTCCCTGATTAAGAGATAACTGCTGCCAGAGGTTCTAGGGAAGTTTCTTTGGGTTTAGAGAAAGTTGTAAAAAAAATAAAATCCCACATTCATGGCAGAATCCAAGCAAACAGGCGATTCCAAATTCCCAAAAGATTGGAAGGATGTTGGTTTCTGCTTGGGAAGAGCTTTAGTAAGGAACACAAGCCCAAATTTCAGAGGGGACCCGTTTACTCTTGGGATAAAACAAACCATTCTCATGCTTTTGCAACATGGGATGCAACCACACAGACGGAAACTTAGTAGTTTCACTCTTTCTCTGAGTTCATCGATGGCCCAAGAATAAAACGTAAATGGGACCAAAGCCTTCTGTTGCATAAAACCCTTGTTTTATTGAACTGAAAGCAGCCTTACACTGCCGGGTCTATTTCTCTTCCTATTCCTTTGGTACAGGACATCTACTTCCTATCTGCCCACAGTGAGAGAATCACAGAGTTCACACAAAAATAACTCTGAACTCTTCTGAAAAGAAGTCATCACACAAACACAAAGATGACTCTGGATGGGACATGGATTTTAGAGAACTGGGTTTGATTCATGCCTCTGGCATTTATCAGCTGAGTGATATTTAGAAATTCTACTTAACCTCTCTGAGCCTCGGTCTCCTTTTCTGTAATGGGGTGTTAATAATGTTTACCTGGCAAGGTGACTGTGAAAATTAGATGAGATCATCTCTGTAAAGATGCTTTGTAATGCACGAAGCCCAACACTGACAGAAGGGCTGCATCGTCACTGTGACACAGGCTACCTCATTCTCTAGAGGGATCCTCCCCTGTGCATGTTGGATTTTGCCTGCAGGTAAGCTCAGAGCCTGCTCCGGTTACATTCACCCTTCCAGGGGACTGGTTTGCTCTTGTCTGGACTGAACGTGTCACCTCAAAGAGCCAAGCTGTCAGGGACTGGTAAATACTGTGCGGTGGAGTCAGACACACCTGGACTCCTACTCCCACCCAGGAAGAAGGAAAGGCCTTTCTACAGCTGACTCAAGAATCTTGTAAGCCAAGTCAATAAAATGGGTCTGAGCAGAGTCCAGGGTGGGGCTCCTGGGCCAGGTCTGGAGGCCAGCCCAGCTTTCCTACCCATTAATCGATTTTGCCTAACACCCAGCCCCGCCTTGGGAGAGGCTGGGTACTGTGCAGCCTCTGGGAGTACTGACTGCCACGCCAGGCCAGGCATTGCCACTTAGGAGGTACAAATTCTTTTCCAAACAACCGACATTTTGACCTGTTAATCGAGAGCTTTCTCCTGTTTGAGGTGAAGGCCACATGGGGGAACTTGGAAAGTCTACCCAAAGAGGTGGAGGAAAAATGTATCATGCCTTCATTTCTCAAAACTCTCCACGTCTCCACCCAGCCCTCCCTCCAACTGCTGCCTGCTTACACACTTTCCCATTCTCTCCACTCCAAAACCTACCCAGGGAGACTCCCGAGGGACTTGGGGTGGGCATGTTACCTGGTACTGGTGAGGGGCTTCTCCATTCTCAGACGGCTTGCCCAGACCGCTTCTAGGAGCAGTGCCTGGGCTGCTTACCTGGACTCGTGCCAGGGAGGAGCCCAGAGTCAAAACACAGCCTAGTGCAAACAGTATAGAAACTGTGAGATACCAGTGTCATTCTGGAACTCCACCTGGATGCTTAACAAAGTATAACGTGGCCGTAGGGTAATCTTTCCAAGGTAGTACTTGGAAACTGGATGGGCGCCTAAGAAAGCTGTATCGCCCACTCCTGTGCACTCAGAAATGTCATTTGTTCTCTATTACAGTGCCAGTTATTCTTCTTATGACCTAATTCCCTGCTGTTATTTACTATTCAGGGATCAGTCATATTATTCCAGACGCAGGGCAGGTCTAGACAGCCTGTGGTTTTTATGAAAATTAGAGCTCCCTGAGGTCCTGTTTGCATAGACAGACAGACCCGCCCTGCTTAGAGCACTTGCCTTTTGCACGAGCTAGACAGCAAGGTCCCCACTGGCCCCCACACACTCCACACTGATCCCAACTCTGTCAAAGTCATGGCTCCTATAATTCCCCTCACCTGGAACCTCTTCCCCATTCTAGTTACTTGCCCAAGCCCTAGACACCCCTCCCTCTTTTGTACCCCACTGACTTTTTATTCAGATCACAATTTCAGCACATAAAGAGCATTATGAGGACAAGTCCTGCTTCCTGGTCACCTTTGTATCTGCAGAACCTAGCAGTGTGCAGAGTACGTTACGTACATTCAATAAATGCTGGTTGGAATGGAGGCATAGTTTAAGTTTCCATTCACCATCTGACACATGTTTGGCAAGCTACTTCATGCAGACCTATGCACTGCTTTCTACTGACTCTTCTTGAATTCTTCTGGCACATACCAAGTGCTCAGAACCTGTGGAGGTCCCAAAAGACCCCACATACCGCAGACTCTAGAGTCATCCTCTCAACAGGGGTCACCTTCCTGTGTTCTGTTTCCTGGAGAATGGCAGCCTTCTTCCCAATGTCTGAAGCCTCGGCCTTGTCTTGGACCCCTCCTTCTTTTTCACTCTCAACACTCTCTCTTAACAGTGATCTCAGTCAGACCTCTCCTCTCATCCACATTTCCACCACAAAGTCCAGAGCTTCCCCACATAGTACATTACTACGATTGTCTCCTGACCAGTCTTTCTACTTCTAGTCAGATTGTCCTCAAATTTGTTTTCCATACGGCCACCAGCAAAATCTTTCTAAAATAAAAATTGCGTTTGTCACAAATCTTAAAGATCCTACAAAGATTCCCTATTACCTACCTCGGTGGTTCTCAACCTTTCAGACAAACCCTCCCTTTGTTTATAACAAATATTTTGCAATGTCCCTGATACTCTTCTGAAATAAAATCTGTAAATAACATAATCCAAAAACACGTAATTTTAAAATATCAATATAATGCTATAACCATAATCTAAAAGGAAAGTAATTAATTATAAAAGAAGATTTATTTCAAAATGTAAGATCTGGGGCTTCCCTGGTGGCGCAGTGGTTGAGAGTCTGCCTGCTGATGCAGGGGACGCGGGTTCGTGCCCCTGTCCGGGAAGATCCCACATGCCGCGGAGCAGCTGGGCCCGTGTACCATGGCCGCTGAGCCTGCGCTTCCAGAGCCTGTGCTCCGCAACGGGAGAGGCCACAACAGTGAGAGGCCCGCGTACCGCAAAAAAAAAAAAAAAAAAGTAAGATCTGGACACCACTAGCCCTCAGCCCCTCCCCCTGACACCACTGTGTTTCAGCTGCACACACCCAGCTCACCTCACGCCTCAGAAGACTCCCCCTCCCTCTCCACCTCATTCACTCATGCTTGTGCTTCCAAACTTCCTCACAACCCAGCCCTCCCAGGCAGGGCTACAGCCCCTCCTCTAGGTTTACAAGCACCTTGTGCTTTGACCTTCACAGTGCTTCTTATATACTTAATTTTAGCCCCTATATACTTAATTATCAGAGTTTCTTTAAACATTGTGAAAGTTTGTAAAAATATCTAAAGTAGAAAAAATAGTATAAGGAACCCCCATTTATCCATTTCCATCTTTCAACAATTATCAACATTTGACCCACTGGTTTTATATATTCTCTTATTTGTTTTTTTCTGATATTGTGAACATGTCAAGTTCACCTGACATGTCAAGTATTTCTTTATGAATCCTGAAAACTAAATCCTGAAAAATGGATGACAAAAGACACTCCTATCAAGAGATTCCAAAGGTTTTATGAGCTTTGTGCCAGGAACTGGGGATAAAGACTGAATGTATTTTTTATGATACCACAGCTGGTTTTCTTCTGTAAAGAACTAATCATAATAATTGCTTTTCTCTCACCCCCTTACTGTTCCCACTAGTATATTCATTGCCCATCAAGGAAAGGACCTCCATGGCTATTACCCTGGGCAGCTTGCAAGAGTTCATTATACTCATATGTGAAGATTATCCCCCAGGTGAGACACCTTCCTAAATCTTTTTTTTTTTTTTTTTTTTTTTTTTTTTTTTTTTTTTTACATCTTTATTGGAGTATAATTGCTTTACAATGGTATGTTAGTTTCAGCTTCACAACAAAATGAATCAGTTATATATATACATATATTCCCATATCTCTTCCCACTTGCGTCTCCCTCCCTCCCACCCTCCCTATCCCACCCCTCCAGGCGGTCACAAAGCACCGAGCTGATCTCCCTGTGCTATGCGGCTGCTTCCCACTAGCTATCTACCTTACGTTTGGTAGTGTATATATGTCCATGCCTCTTTATCGCTTTGTCACCGTTTACACTTCCCCCTCCCCATAGCCTCAAGTCCATTCTCTAGTAAGTCTGTGTCTTTATTCCTGTTTCACCCCTAGGTTTTTCATGACATTTTTTTTTTTTTAAATTCCATATATATGTGTTAGCATACGGTATTTGTCTCTCTCTTTCTGACTTACTTCACTCTGTATGACAGACTCTAGGTCTATCCACCTCATTACAAATAGCTCAATTTCGTCTCTTTTTATGGCTGAGTAATATTCCATTGTATATATGTGCCACATCTTCTTTATCCATTCATCCGATGATGGACACTTAGGTTGTTTCCATCTCTGGGCTATTGTAAATAGAGCTGCAATGAACATTTTGGTACATGACTCTTTTTGAATTATGGTTTTCTCAGGGTATATGCCCAGTAGTGGGATTGCTGGGTCATATGGTAGTTCTATTTGTAGCTTTTTAAGGAACCTCCATACTGTTCTCCACAGTGGCTGTATCAATTTACATTCCCACCAACAGTGTAAGAGGGTTCCCTTTTCTCCACACCCTCTCCAGCATTTATTGTTTCTAGATTTTTTGATGATAGCCATTCTGACTGGTGTGAGATGATATCTCATTGTAGTTTTGATTTGCATTTCTCTCATGATTAGTGATGTTGAGCATTCTCTCATGTGTTTGTTGGCACTCTGTATATCTTCTTTGGAGAAATGTCTATTTAGGTCTTCTGCCCATTTTTGGATTGGGTTGTTTGTTTTTTTGTTATTAAGCTGCATGAGCTGCTTATAAATTTTGGAGATCAATCCTTTGTCAGTTGCTTCATTTGCAAATATTTTCTCCCATTCTGAGGGTTGTCTTTTGGTCTTCTTTATGGTTTCCTTTGCTGCATAAAAGCTTTTAAGTTTCATTAGGTCCCATTTGTTTACTCTTGTTTTTATTTCCATTACTCTAGGAGGTGGGTCAGAAAGAATCTTGCTGTGATTTATGTCATAGAGTGTTCTGCCTATGTTTTCCTCTAAGAGTTTGATAGTTTCTGGCCTTACATTTAGGTCTTTAATCCATTTTGAGCTTATTTTTGTGTATGGTGTTAGGGAGTGATCTAACTTCATACTTTTACATGTAGCTGTCCAGTTTTCCCAGCACCACTTATTGAATAGGCTGTCCTTTCTCCACGGTACATTTCTGCCTCCTTTGTCAAAGATAAGGTGACCATATGTGCGTGGGTTTATCTCTGGGCTTTCTATCCTGTTCCATTGATCTATCTGTCTGTTTTTGTGCCAGTACCATACCGTTTTGATAACTGTAGCTTTGTAGTATAGTCTGAAGTCAGGGAGCCTGATTCCTCCAGTTCCTTCTTTCGTTCTCAAGATTGCTTTGGCTATTCGGGGTCTTTTGTGTTTCCATACAAATTGCAAAATTTTTTGTTCTAGTTCTGTGAAAAATGCCAGTGGTAGTTTGATAGGGATTGCATTGAATCTATAGATTGCTTTTGGTAGTAGAGTCATTTTCACAATGTTGATTCTTCCAATCCAAGAACATGGTATATCTCTCCATCTATTTGTATCATCTTTAATTTCTTTCATCAGTGTCTTATAATTTTCTGCATACAGATCTTTTGTCTCCTTAGGTAGGTTTATTCCTAGATATTTTATTCTTTTTGTTGCAATGGTAAATGGGAGTGTTTTCTTGATTTCACTTTCAGATTTTTCATCATTAGTATATAGGAATGCCAGAGATTTCTGTGCATTAATTTTGTATCCTGCCACTTTACCAAATTCATTGATTAGCTCTAGTAGTTTTCTGGTAGCATCTTTAGGGTTCTCTATGTATAGGATCATGTCATCTGCAAACAGTGACAGCTTTACTTCTTCTTTTCCGATTTGGATTCCTTTTATTTCCTTTTCTTCTCTGATTGCTGTGGCTAAAACTTCCAAAACTATGTTGAATAAGAGTGGTGAGAGTGGGCAACCTTGTCTTGTTCCTGATCTTAGTGGAAATGCTTTCAGTTTTTCGCCATTGAGGATGATGTTTGCTGTGGGCTTGTCATATATGGCCTTTATTACGTTGAGGAAAGTTCCCTCTATGCCTACTTTCTGCAGGGTTTTTATCATAAATGGGTGTTGAATTTTGTCAAAAGCTTTCTCTGCATCTATTGAGATGATCATATGGTTTTTCTCCTTCAATTTGTTAATATGGTTTATCACATTGATAGATTTGCGTATATTGAAGAATCCTTGCATTCCTGGAATAAACCCCACTTGATCATGGTGTATGATCCTTTTAATGTGCTGTTGGATTCTGTTTGCTAGTATTTTGTTGAGGATTTTTGCATCTATGTTCATCAGTGATATTGGCCTGTAGTTTTCTTTCTTTGTGACATCCTTGTCTGGTTTTGGTATCAAGGTGATGGTGGCCTCGTAGAAGGAGTTTGGGAGTGTTCCTCCCTCTGCTATATTTTGGAAGAGTTTGAGAAGGATAGGTGTTAGCTCTTCTCTAAATGTTTGATAGAATTCGCCTGTGAAGCCATCTGGTCCTGGGCTTTTCTTTGTTGGAAGATTTTTAATCACAGTTTCAATTTCAGTGCTTGTGATTGGTCTGTTCATATTTTCTATTTCTTCCTGATTCAGTCTTGGCAGGTTGTGCATTTCTAAGAATTTGTCCATTTCTTCCAGATTGTCCATTTTATTGGCATAGAGTTGCTTGTAGTAATCTCTCATGATCTCTTTTATTTCTGCAGTGTCAGTTGTTACCTCTCCTTTTTCATTTCTAATTCTATTGATTTGAGTCTTCTCCCTTTTTTTCTTGATGAGTCTGGCTAGTGGTTTATCTATTTTGTTTATCTTCTCAAAGAACCAGCTTTTAGTTTTATTGATCTTTGCTATTGTTTCCTTCATTTCTTTTTCATTTATTTCTGATCTGATTTTTATGATTTCTTTCCTTCTGCTAGCTTTGGGGTTTTTTTGTTCTTCTTTCTCTAATTGCTTGAGGTGCAAGGTTAGGTTGTTTATTCGAGATGTTTCCTGCTTCTTAAGGTGGGCTTGTATTGCTATAAATTTCCCCCTTAGAACTGCTTTTGCTGCATCCCACAGGTTTTGGGTCGTTGTGTCTCCATTGTCATTTGTTTCTAGGTATTTTTTGATTTCCTCTTTGATTTCTTCAGTGATCACTTCATTATTAAGTAGTGTATTGTTTAGCCTCCATGTGTTTGTATTTTTTACAGATCTTTTCCTGTAATTGATATCTAGTCTCATGGCGTTGTGGTCAGAAAAGATACTTGATACAATTTCAATTTTCTTAAATTTACCAAGGCTTGATTTGTGACCCAAGATATGATCTATCCTGGAGAATGTTCCATGAGCACTTGAGAAAAATGTGTATTCTGTTGTTTTTGGATGGAATGTCCTATAAATATCAATTAACTCCATCTCGTTTAATGTATCATTTAAAGCTTGTGTTTCCTTATTTATTTTCATTTTGGATGATCTGTCCATTGGTGAAAGTGGGGTGTTAAAGTCCCCTACTATGAATGTGTTACTGTCGATTTCCCCTTTTATGGTTGTCAGTATTTGCCTTATGTATTGAGGTGCACCTATGTTGGGTGCATAAATATTTACAATTGTTATATCTTCCTCTTGGATCGATCCCTTGATCATTATGTAGTGTCCTTCTTTGTCTCTTCTAATAGTCTTTGTTTTAAAGTCTATTTTGTCTGATATGAGAATTGCTACTCCAGCTTTCTTTTGGTTTCCATTTGCATGAAATACCTTTTTCCATCCCCTTACTTTCAGTCTGTATGTGTCTCTAGGTCTGAAGTGGGTCTCTTGTAGACAGCAAATATATGGGTCTTGTTTTTGTATCCATTCAGCCAATCTGTGTCTTTTGGTGGGAGCATTTAGTCCATTTACATTTAAGGTAATTATCGATATGTGTGTTCCTATTCCCATTTTCTTAATTGTTTTGGGTTCGTTATTGTAGGTCCTTTCCTTCTTTTGTGTTTCTTGCCTAGAGAAGTTCCTTTAGCAGTTGTTGTAGAGCTGGTTTGGTGGTGCTGAACTCTCTCAGCTTTTGCTTGTCTGTAAAGGTTTTAATTTCTCCATCAAATCTGAATGAGATCCTTGCTGGGTAGAGTAGTCTTGGCTGCAGGTTTTTCTCCTTCAACACTTTCAATATGTCCTGCCACTCCCTTCTGGCTTGCAGAGTTTCTGCTGAAAGATCAGCTGTTAACCTTATGGGGATTCCCTTGTGTGTTATTTGTTGTTTTTCCCTTGCTGCTTTTAATATGTTTTCTTTGTATTTAATTTTTGACAATTTGATTAATATGTGTCTTGGCGTATTTCTCCTTGGATTTATCCTGTATGGGACTCTCTGTGCTTCCTGGACTTGATTAATGATTTCTTTTCCCATATTAGGGAAGTTTTCAACTATAATCTCTTCAAATATTTTCTCAGTCCCTTTCTTTTTCTCTTCTTCTTCTGGAACCCCTATAATTCGAATGTTGGTGCGTTTAATGTTGTCCCAGAGGTCTCTGAGACTGTCCTCAGTTCTTTTCATTCTTTTTTCTTTATTCTTCTCTGCAGTAGTTATTTCCACTATTTTATCTTCCAGGTCACTTATCTGTTCCTCTGCCTCAGTTATTCTGCTATTTATCCCATCTAGAGTACTTTTAATTTCATTTATTGTGTTGTTCATCGTTGCTTGCTTCA